TTTGTTTAACAACACCCTAATAAAAAGAGCTAATCCACTGTGAAGAAACTTATGATAAAGTTAAGATATTAACTATAGTGAGTATTCTGTTTTCTTTTTTCAGGCAAGAGATTTGCTTGCCAGGCTTCCAGCCAGTATTTTTTTGGTTGATTAGCCAATGCTAATCCTTCCTTGAATTATCCCAAACACGTCCTCGTCTCGCTGCTAATACTCTCTTTCCCACTTATTTTATTTCCAACCTTATAAGCCTGCTTCGTTAACTAATAAGCACCTAAAAACGAAACAAATTTAAATGATAAAGAAAATGAAAAAAGTTAGACTCGCCACTCAAGGTTAGCCACGTGACACTGTCGTCTCCCATTGGAAAATATGACGACGGGATGCTGACAAAAGCTGATGTGCTGTCCTGTTCTTATTGGCCAGTCACGCAAAGTCATTGTACGATGATCTTGACATTGCTCCATCTCAAGACAATGAGGGATGAATAAAAACGAATGCCATTTTTTATTATTCCCAATGCGCTTCCGAAAAAGATCAATAAAAATATATTCCCTCTTTTACTTCTTCTTTGTTTCTTAATTTTGCCAAATAAGAGAAGCCATGCGCATTTAAGTATTGTTTTATCTCATTTTTTTCACTGTCTTTCTTTCCTCTAATTCTTATCCCTTTCTTTTTTTAGTGGGGTAGAATTTTTAAGACAAAAGAAGACACAGAGAATAATGGAAGTGAGCTATCGATCAATATGGAAAAAAGGGGTCGGGTGGCCTGAGGATAAAGAAATTGGAACATCCACAATCAGATAAAAAGAAAGTTCTTCCCTTCTGCACTGCACTGTGGACTATTTCTAGGGTTTCTGATTTCCATATTTGTATTCTATCATCCTCCTATACCCTTGTGTTGTGTCCTTTGTTGCTCTTTTTGGGTAATTCATGTCTATGGGTGGCGTCTCTGGGTTCTATTTTTAGAAACCTAATTTAACATCTTTTTTGGGGGCTTTCTTTTATGAATCCTCCTGGGATTTCATCTGCTAATTGTTGCGATTTTCTAAACTAAACCTCTCCTGGGTTTGCTTGGTTGTCACAGGTCCTTCACAAATTTTTACATTTTTCTCTACTAGCTAGTGTTCGAGCACTTCAAATCTTCGAGGGAGTTTCCAGGTGTAACTCTTCTCTACTAGCTTATTTCTTGAGCTATATATGTATAGCGCATCTTTACCAATTTTCATGGTATTATTATTATCTCATTATGATCTTGTAATTAATGATGGTGATGATCTAGGCTAGGACATGGTGAGAGGGAAGATTGAGATGAAAAGAATTGAAAATGCCACAAGCCGGCAAGTGACCTTCTCCAAACGTCGAAATGGGTTGTTGAAGAAAGCCTTTGAGCTTTCAGTTCTTTGCGATGCTCAAGTTTCCGTCATCATCTTCTCTCAGAAAGGCAGGCTATATGAGTTCTCCAGCTCTGAGTATGTTTCTGTATTTTTTTATATATACCTCATATGTATAAGTTTGAAGCCCCATTTTTTTCTTTATCTGTATGCTTTGTTTCTTAAAGATGGAAACATCATTTACTTTTTATGGTGTTGATGAGCAGGTATGGGTTGTTGTACTGGTTTTGAGGCCAGTGTGTACGATGATACAGACATATATATATATATATATATATATATATA